ACAAAGAACAAAGAATAGAGATGGAAGGTGAGAGGAGGGCAGAACATCAAGATTTCTGCCACCACAACACCAGCTGGCTGCCCTCATGGCCTCCACGGTGCCATCAGTCAGACCTACAGCAGGCTCATTTGGGACACTTTCCTCTGTCTCCTCCACCTCTAACCCTCCAGACAGAGCGAGTCTCTTCTGGGCTTAAGACCCGGCTAGCCTGGGTCACTCCTTCCGCTGTGCCATAGCTAGGACAGGAATTTCAGCTTTGGCCTCCTCCTCTCTGGTTCTCAGCAGAGTGGGGAACAGCTGGTCACTTGTATAAAAGTCCTCCATCTATCAGAACACCTTATTAAATTTCCTCCCTCTTCTGTCTAATTAATCCCAATGCCTTTATCTTTTCTTCAAGGGACACTCTCATCTCCACCTCACAAAGCAGTCTTTTAATCATCTTTATGGGTTTCCTCTGAGCCCTCTACAGGTTCGAAGGAACATGGAGTAAGGCCCTGAAGATCTGTTTTCTATTGCTGCGAAGGAGATGGGAGGGAGAAGAAAGTCTTTGTTGATGAGAAAGGGGGAATAACAAGCTAAACATGTAGGATAAACTAGATTTCTCTAGAGAAAATGGCCTTGCCCATTCTGTCTTTGTTGAAATGAGATGCAAGAAGCAAGAGGGGGATATACCATCTGCTGCTTGAAGAAATAACATGGAGAAAGGCTTCTTCTATTATCCGATGATGGTCATAGAAGAACATGTGTTTTGGGCACTATTGGATTAATGAAGTTATTATTAACTAAAGACAAAGCTCAAAAGGCTAAATTGGGAGAGTCAGAGGGCACCAGATGACAGAATCAGGATCCTTAAAGGTTCCAGAAAGCTTCACTCAGGCTGTCTGTAGTTAAAGGCATGCACTTTAGCAGCATCTCGAATTTCAGGACCAGACACAAGCATCCATGCACAGGATGAGGAAGACATGGCTTAACAGCCACACAAGGAGATGGAGTGGATTTTCAGTTGATGGAAGTTCTCCATTTTACAATGTTTGCCTCTTGTGAAGAACTGGCTGTTCCTTTCCATGGTGGGCTGCCAATTGCCACATTTGTTCCATGTGGAGATCAGGCAGTGGGCGGGGCTTATGGCAATCTTGGAATATTTAAGGACTTACCCATGTGGAAGAGGAATTCGTTTTGTTCTGTTGTGTGAGAAGATAGACCATGGTCAAAGTTACAGGGAACCAGACATTAGCTTGAGGAATAAAAGGACCTTTCCAATAATGGTTGTGGGAGTTCTGCTTTGTGAAGCTTTGCCTGTGCACACCCCTGTGCCAGGCACTGCCAAGGCGAGAATGATCACTCCTGATGCCTGGGGGAGAGGAAGGGAGCTTACAGAGGACTGGCGACTTGCCCGGTCACCCAGCGTGGTGGGCAAGAACGGAAACCCAGTGATTCCTAGGCCTGTGCTCTCTACCCCACAGGGCTACTTCCCAAAGCCTAGCTGGGATGTCTATTTGAAACATAAATGCTTCCATGGGCTTCCATGAACAGCCTGTTACTGGGGATGTGCAGAAAGATCCAGGAGGCACCAGCCAGATGCTGTCGAGGAAATCTGAGCACAGATGTGGTGTTAGCCTAGCTGCCCAGAAGGTCTCTCCCAACTCAGGGAGTGAAGGATTTGACACAGTGAGAGAGGAGGAGTTGCTGTGTTGATGCTGGGCATCCTCCTCCCCTCTTCTAGGGGCCTCAACTGTGCTGGCAGCCTAGGGTGCTAGAGTGGCCTCAGCCTCTCCTCAAATACCAGCCACCCACCAACGAGTTCGCAGGCAAGTTGCTCGCACCACCAAGCTTCCTGCTGTTCTCACCACACCGTGGGAAGCCACACCTGAAAGTGCGCTGTGAGGCGCAGGAGGTGATCAGGATATAACCCGCCCACGATCACGATCATCCCAGGGCTGATACCGCCAGTGACCCCTCCTCCCATTCCCTCCATCTCCTACCCTGCAATTTATACTTGATTTGGAGCAGCTTCTGCTGGTGGGGACATCCGGGCTGGTGACAAATGTGTGTATTTCCACAGCCCTGGCCAGTACTCTGAGCTCTGTGCTGCTCTGCTCTGAGCATTCTGGCTGCTCTCCAGCCTAACGGAGGGTTCTAGGGATGCATTCTGATCCCAGCACTGGCATTTGCCCACACGCAAGGCTTACTGTTTGGTGTGGCTCCGACACTTAGGAGACTTTGCCTGTTGGCCTCTGACTGTCAAGGAAGAAGAGGAGGGAGGATGTCAAGGACAGCAGAGGCTTGTGGCTACCAGCCAGGAGGGCCATGTCTGTCCATGCTACCACAGAGCTGCCAACTCCCGAGTCTCTGTGCTGGAAGGACAGCCTACCACAGGCACGCAGGATCACTCTTTTTCTGTTTGATTTATAAGATAGTGGTGAGGGTTGGAAGACTTGGAGTCAGAACAAAACAGAGGGAAGGAAAACGTCATGGGAAGCAACCTATTTTTGAAGACTGTGAGCTGACGCCAGGAGATTAGGTTCTGTTTGTCTTGGCTGATGGGCTTGTTAACACACACACACACACACACACACACACACACCAAAAAACCCCCACAGACACACACACACACACACACACACACACACACACACACACACACACAGAATATTCCTGCTGTCTGGGTCTGCTCTGGCTGTCTGGAAGCATCTTGGCTTTGTTCAACACACCCCCTGCTGCCAGGAGCTCAGCTCTATCCAGAGCAAAACCCCCTGTCAGCAGGAATTCCGACGCTGACACAGCACAAAGCTGCCTCAAGAGGCCCTCTCAGTTTCTGGACTGACCTCAGATTCCTATGCCTCTGGGTAATGCCTGGCAGAACCTGCAGGCTGGGAATGGAGGCCAGTGACGACAAGCTTAAAGGGAAGCTGGGTCCCATGGAGTGCGGCACATGTTCAACCAGACCTGCTGAGTGGAGGCAAGCCTGGCCTGAGACAGGTGTCAGGAGTGAGGTTTGGGAATAAGGGAAAGGCCACTCATGGCTCCTCACTGGGACTGGACCAAGGGTACTGTCTCAGCGTCAAGAGCAGCCTGATGTAGTTACGTGGAGACGAGCTGTTTCCCAGTGTGTCTCCTGCACAAAGCTGTGAGTTCCTGGGGGTAGGAACACAGCTCATGCATCTCCACGCCCCTCAGGCTGTGCTATGTGTTAGGCCCAGGAAGTCTCTTTCCCTGCTCACCCCAGAGGAGGCAATGGCTTTGGAGTAGGAAGGGTACAACAATAAGCAGCTTGGGACCAGAGCAGGGGCTTCACAGGCAGCACGTGTGTGCCCACCTAGCAGGATGGGAGGTGTGGTGCTGAGGAGGCCAAGCTAAGGACAGAGGGCTGGACAAAAATAGCAATAGCAGCAGCAGCAGCAGACACATCATGAGCATTCATGCCAGGTCACCAGTCCAGCCTGGCTCCTGCCCTGTTCGCTCACGCATCCTTCCTCCTGCTGAAAAGACTGGGCCCTTGCAGCTCACAGCATCCTTTTTTCACTCTCCATAAGGTCACTGCTTCTAAGGGCAGTGCCACTGCCACTTTCTACAGATGTCAGGGTCATCTGAGGCTGGGCATGGTAGAGACCCGGTCACTGGCTCTGGACCTGGCTAGCCTGGGAAACAAACCTGAGGTAGCAGTCCTGACCCTCGTCTGAGGGGGCTATTTTCAGGTTGCCTGCTCCTGGATCCCTTTCTCTCATGCTCCCAGACCTCTGGGTTATCCAGAGGCAGGGAGGCCAGTTTGCAACCCTCAGCCTGGTAATCCTCAGTGCTTGGGCAAAGAACAAGGGTATCACATTTCATCTTAGTCTTAGGACTGCCTCAGAGGTAAGATGTGACTAGAAGGGATCCTACCAGTCAAGGTTGAAGAGGCCCTGTTACAGGACATTTACGATGTGACATTGAGGGACCAAAATACAAAATATGTGAGTTCAATGTCATACATACTATATTTAAAATAAACACACAAAAAGGTCTGAAAGGCATCTACAGTGGTTATTTGTGGATGCTTGGGTCAAAGAAAAGTATTATTTTCTTCTCTGAACTTTCTTTTTTCTTTCAATAGGCATGTATTCTACAACTAGAATTTTAGAATCAAGAAAAAAAGCTGCCAGTACAGTGTCTCACATCTATAATCCCAGCACTTTGGGAGGCCAAGGTGAGAGGATTGCCTGAACCCACAGGCTCAAGACCAGCCTGGGCAACTTGGCGAGACTTCATCTCTACAATAAATCAAAAAAATTAGCCAGGTGTGGTGGCGCATGCCTGTAGTTCCAGCTACTTGGAAGGCTGAGTTGAAAGGATCACCTGAGCCCAGCAGGTCAAGACTGCAGTGGCCGGGAGTGTGCTACAACCCACTAGCTTGGGTGAGAGAGTGAGACTTCACCACAAAAAAAAAAAAAGAAAGAAAGAAACAAGACCTCATCTCTACAATAAATTTTTAAAAATCAGCCGGGCGTGGTAGCGCATGCCTGTAATTCTGGCTACTCGGAAGGCAACAGAGTGAGACTCCAACTCAAAAAAAAAAAAAAAAAAAAAAAGAGAGAAAGGAAAATAAAGACCGGGGAGACCTCATCTCTACAATAAATAAAAGTTAGCTGGGCATGGTAGTGCATGCCTGTAGTTCCAACTGCTTGGAAGGTGGAGGTGGAAGGATTGCCAGAGCCCAGCAGGTCGATGCTGGGGTGGCTGTGAGCATGCCACCACACTCCAGCCTGGGTGACAGAGTGAGACTCCAACTCAAAAAGAAAAAAGAAAAATGAAAAAGAGAGATGACAGTACTAGCCTCTATCCATCCCTAGGCAACATGAGGTTGAGTGTGGGCCCACATGGGCTCTGTGGACAGCAGGGCCACTGGACGCATCCTCCCTCCCTTCTGCATCCCCAGGTGGGGTCCCGCCACAGTGTGCAGTGGTGGAGCTGTCACTTCAGGCCCCTGCTCCACACTTGCCCAGGGTTTTCGCAAGATGACTCACCTGAAGCAATTCCAGGTCAGAAGAGTCCTCCTGCCCGGGGACCATTTCTGTTAACATCTCAGACATGACTTTTGTGTTTCCTCGCACAACATCCAGTTCACTCCGCAGCCTGGCGATCTGTGGAGGGCCGTGGGGAAGGAAAGCAGGAAGGAGAGGTCAGTCAGCCTGCACTTTCGCTATCAGAACCAGCTTGCTCCCCAAGCTGGTGACAGTTCTGCTCACTTGGAGACTGCCTTCTCGTCTCCCTCTGGTCTGTCAAGGTGACGGCAGCTCTGAGAGAACTGAAAGGGTTCTGGCCACCAACAGTCTGTCATGGTGCCTGCCTGCCAGTGACACCAAGGCAGCACTGTGCAGTGAAGAGCACCAGGTCAGGAGGGTACCAAGCTGGCTCTCTGTCTCAGCTCTCCTACCATGGGGCCTTGAATAGGAGCTGAGCCTCTCAGGGCCTCATTTCTGCTCTTGAAAATGCAAGTGCAGGAGGGCAGGAGCTCTGAGACCCCTTCAGGGCTGAGAGCCTATTCTATGAACATGAGTTATAGACTCTGGCCCTGGGAGTTTTATCATCTAAATACTATGATCCTCTGAGAGGCTGGCCAGTGTCAACAGGACTTTTCTGGTATGGCAAGAATAAGAGAGAGAGAACAGGAGAAGACCACAGGGGAGGCCCCTCCCCACCTAGCTCCTTACCTGGTAACACAACCCCTGGAAAAATACCCAACCTGCCCAACCATCCGCCCTCCCCAAAGCCTGGACCTAGTCAAGGCCTGAGCCCCTTGCCCTCCAGCCCTGTGCTTCAGATCTGCCCCCTCACTCTCTCAATCCCCTCGAGGCATCTGCAGAGACCATGGGAACTTCCCTGTCACAGTTGAGGCATCATAGAAGAATCCACATAGAAATGCCTAGTCATCTCATTACTCAGTGATAAGAGACCGATACACATTAGACAGGGCAAGAGCTGCCCAAGACACCAGAAGGAGCCCTAGAAGACTCCACAAGCACGGGGCCTCCACAGTAGTAGCAACATCCAGAGATGGACTTGAACCTCTCTGAGTCTCAATTTCCTCACGTACAGAAAGGTGGCAATAATACCACATCTCACAGGGTGCTGTGAAATGCCCACACCATGCCTAGCACACAAATATGCTCTACATACATGTACGTCCCTTTCTCCTGCTCAAACATCCAGAGGGCAGAACTGTGATGTCACTCCTTCTGCACTGTGACCCAGCTCGAGCAACGCCTCCTCTCCTCCTTTTCTGACTCTCCCTGCCTCATCCTGAGGTAGAAGCAACCCCCTGCCTCCTCCTTCAGGCCCCCACTCCCCATACCATCTTCCACCATAGCAGCCTTGGTAGGCTCTCCTGTGCTGGTCGGCTCTCTCAGAAGACCCTCGGCTCCCTAGGGCAGGAACTCCCTGGGGTTGAATTCGGTAATCTCAGCACAGGGCCAGAGATGGGAGACCACAGTCAATGGTCAACCAGGGAGATGGTCTGCATCCGAAAGGCTCTTGCAGACTTCTGGCCATTTCCGGTCAGGGAGGCCCAGGAACACCACAGTTAGTCACCTCATGGGATCTGAAGCACTGGGTCCTCTTGACCAGGCTGGCTACCTACCTACCTGTCTCTGCTTTCATTCCTCTCTCCCAAGGGCAGCAGACCTCTGGGCTCCTGCACTACCCATGCCCTCTCACATCCATTCTAGACCCCTCCTCTTGACGGTTCTAGCTGCTGTGAGGGCCTTTCCCAAGCATCCATTGCACTGATGGCAAGTCAGTGCAGGAGCACAGTGATGTCCAACTTCCAACACGTTCTGCCTTCCCTCAGAACAGGAAGGGCATAGTTCTGCCCATGAAAGCGGGGCCTAGAGCCAGAGACCTTCTTTCCCATACTTCCCCATTTTAAGGAAGGCTCTGGCCTTCATGGGTAACGAGGAGGGGCAGAGTTCAGTGAACCAGATCCACAGTTACTGTAAACCCTGTGTTTCAGCTGTGGATTTGGGCCTCTTCCCCCGAGGTACACACAGCACTTGAGTGGCCACCAAGTGAACCTCTTCTATCTGCCTGTCAATCCCACAGCTGCCCTGTGAGAAGAGGGAAGGATCACCTGTTCTACTGACAAGAGGCAGGTTAAACGTCCTGCCCAAAGCCTTATGGTGAGTAGCAGAGTGGGGGCTCACGTTCAGGCCTGTGTGACTTTGAGTTCACACCTCCTGTTAGTGCTGTGCTCCCTCCTCAGAGGTAGAAGATAAGTGAAAGGGCCACGGCCCTGGCACAACACTGCCATAGCCTAACACAATCACTGGACCCCTCTGCTTCAGTGAGGTTCCATAGTCATGACATTATCACAAACAGTAAATAAGGATTTTGAAAACAGAAATCTTGATAGTTTTTTTTCCAAGTCTGACCAATTCTCAAATTGCAACTAATGGAAATTATGGATTCATTTAAAAAGCAGCCCACAACCCATCTAAAAAATCCAGTTTGGGTTAAAACTGCATTAGCTTATCAGGAAGTAACCCAGGGAAGGTGAGCAGTGTTTGGGATAAAGGCAGATCACTGGCCTCTGATGGCTGACATTTCTTTCAGGATAGATCTAAGCCTCTGCATGACAGACAAGCCCAGCCCATCACAGCACAACCGTGCTCCCATACTTCTGGCCTCACTTTCTGCCACTGTTTCCTCCCTGACCTGGGCTTTACATATGCGTCTAGTCAAGCCACCTGCTGTTGCCCAAGAGAGCCCTGTGCCTTGCACCTCCACTATGCTGATGCCACTGCTGTGCCCAAAGCCTCATTGGACAAAGTCCCCCTCCTGTTTCAGGACACTCGATGTGTCAGCTCCCCAGCTGCCTTTCACCCCTGCTCAACTCCAGGCTCACAACTCTGAGTACTCGGCTCTGCTCCCCACCGCAGCATGACCACATTCTGTCATGATTGCCTTGGCATCTGTCTCCCCCAGGGACTGGGCCCTTCAGCTCTGTGTCCCTGACACCCAGCACAATGCCTGGCCTGGGGAAGCCTCTGTACATGTCTCCTGGAAAGATGAACGAGGACGGTCAGCTGGTTTGCCTTTGGACCGGAAGTATGCAAGTACCTGTTCTGAATTGGCCGTGATGGGGCCAGTCACACTCAGAGCCGGGGCCTGCGGAGCGGAGTAGGGAGCAGGAGGAGGCGAGGAATAGGAGCCAGCACTTGTCCTCTGCTGTGACTGGGACCTGGGCATGGTCGCGGCTGGATCCACTTCAGGGACACTCTGGCATGGCAACAACAAAGTCCTCTGTTCACTTGGGCTGCCTGTGCGGCCCGGCCTGGCATCTACCCCCACCCTAGACAGCACTTCCCCAGAACTGCCTGTGGAAGGCTGGAGGTCCAGCTCCATGGCTGCCCTGGTGAACTCGTGGAAGCCTACTGAGCCAGTCCTTCCATCTGTGAAGTGGGGCCGGCTGCCAACAGCTCCTCCCTCGCTTTGCCTCACAAGGGGTGTGCGGCAGACAACACAAGCAACTCCAAAAGGCAGCACCGAGTGCTCTGTGAGCACTCTGGTCATGGTTCCCATTATTAAGACCACATCGGGATCCATGTGGAGGGAGGGCTGTTATTAAGTTTTGCTAATCACGAATCCTTATTTGGTACCATAAGATTACATTTTGGCCTTTACAAGTAGACTAATATAAACAGTAATTATGCAATTTACTGCGTGTTCTTTTTAATTAAAAGAACAACCACACGGCTCTGTGTCATTATTAGAAGAATGAAACAGGTTATGTTTATTTCACAAAGCACAGTGCATGGTCTGGAGGGATCATGACGAGAACAGTGCTCTAGAAAGTGCAACTCCTTGTGCTTTCCCTTTGGGCATCACAGATGACCTTTAGAACATTAATTCATGTGTTCCCACGAGAGATGTGCACAGGCACGCTGTTCTTCTCGATGTCCCCATTTAAGAGATGGGCAGTAAGTGCCAGCAAGGTGGCATATACTGGGATGAGGCGCCTCTCCTAGAACCTGGAGCTTTTCTGGCTCTTCCCCTGGGTTGGAGCAGCCAGGAGAAGGACTAGCTTTCCTGTGATACCATGAATAGCATGGGCTGCATACTTTTTACTTCATTTCATTTCACTTTTTGAGAGTCAGGGTCTCATTCTGTCACCCTAGCTGGCGTGCAGTGGCACTGCGATGGCTTATCGCAGTATCGACCTCCTGGGCTCAGACAAGCCTCCTGCCTCAGCCTCCCAAGTAACTGGGATTATAGGCATGAGCCACTGTGCCCAGTGGCCTGCACGCTTTTCACGCTTAAGTACAGAGCTGCCCCACCCATTGCTCGAGCTACTGTTGGCACTGTAGGAGCTTCAGCAGGATGCCCCAAAATGGGCCTTTCCTGGGCTTTGAATCCCAAGGCTGATGCAATTCAGGAATGTCTGAATTGATGCTGAATGCCCACAGCTCAAAATAAATTTTAGAATCATTTGACTTGTACTTGAAAAAACAGAAAGCTGCTCTTTGCCCCATGAGTGATGTCAACCAGTCTGCATTGCTCTGGGGTGCTCTGGAGCTCTAAGGGAATGAGGATGGGATTCCCACACCAGATTCTGTGGGCCTCCGAAGAGCAGGTGCTAATGATTCTCACAGGATGGCTCCGCCCAATCAGCCATTTCCGTGAAAGCGCCAGAACTGATCCCTCTATTATATTCTTCCACAGTCAGTGTGAAAACCAGGGGGAGACACTGCTGCCACTTAATCACCAGTCAACCAGCTGTCTCACTCCTGCATTCCCCTTGTTATTAAAAAGGAATGCCCTCGAGCTTTAAGAAAGCATGATGACAAGCTGAATAATTCAAAGGGAGCAGCAGAAGGGTGATTGCAGCGGCCTGGCTCCCTCATTCTGCAGTAGGTCTTTCTGGAAAGCGCCAGCTGGAAGCTTACCCGCTGTGGTGTATGTATGGGAGACAGAGCATCCAAGTCGGCCATGGGAAACTCAACCCCTTTCCTCTTCAGTTCCTCATAAATGTGCACAACGCCGGTGAGGTCAGGACTGCTTCGAAAGGCATCAGCCCACGCCTGGGAGGATAGAAGAAGGCCTGTTAGCAAGCATTTCTCAAGGGCTGTCGCGGTGCTTGAAAATCCAAAGCTGGAGACCAATGCTCTCCTGTGTGCAAATGCAAATCACACCAGCTAAACCTATTCTGTTCCTCTCCTTCTGCAATTGCTGCCACTACACGGCTGGCAAAATCCTGGCTTTCAATGGCACTGCTAAGCGTGAACACAAACACAAAACTTAATTCAGCATGTATTTCCTTGGAGAAGAGACCGAGAAATAACACCTAAGCACCGTGGCACATCCTAAAAAGCAGGCATTTCCCTAATGGCATGGAAATCAATTGCTGGTGCTGTTTAGCTGAAGGGAATGGAAGGCAGGGCCTTGCCACAGTAGGATGCCAGCCTCTGCACAGGAACACAGGAGCACCGCAGATCTGTGCGCAGGGTCATCATTGCGCTCTGCCCTGAGAACTACCACAGGTAGAGTTTGGAACCACAGGCAAACTGAGCAGAAAGGAAAGGAGAAATTGATGTGTAACATGAAATAAAGGCTAACTCTAGGCTTCTTCAGCAGATCAGAGACCGCAAAAGTGGAGTGTGCCTAGCTCAGCCCCACTACTGGCAAGTGAGATGACCATGGCTCAGTGATGGAAAAGCCCATTAGGAGCCAGGCCAGGGAGTTCACCCCCCAAGGTTCCTGCTTCCAGGCCTATGCTTCTTTTAGTATGAAGTGCTGCTAGAAATGTCAACGTACATGTGCCCAAACTGAAATTGCAATGAAGTTTGGGCATGCCTGTAATCCCAGCACTTTGGGAGGTGAAGATGGGAGGACTGTTTGAGCCTAGGAGTTCAAGACCAGCCTGGGCAACATAGCAAGACCTAATTTCTACAAAAAACTAAAAAACTAACTGGATGTGGTTGCGTGTGCCTGTAGTCCCAGCCACTTGGAGGATCGCCTGAGCCCGGGAGGCCAAAGCTGTAGTGAGCCATGATCTGGCCACTGCATTCCAGCCGGAGCCAGTGAGACTCCGATTCCAAAAAAAAGAAAAGAAAAGAAAACCTAGTGAAAGCACAACTACTAGATTCTCTTAAATGAAAACACAACACAGACAGGAAAGACAAAAAATTCAAATAGATTATCATTTCTGTTGGCTCATGAAACTTAAAAAATTTTTTTAAAATTCTGTTATTCAGAAGTTTTAGGTATCAAGAAAGGAAGTACATCCAAAGGGCTCCCCAGGAATGGGACCCGGCCCTTCCTATGCTATCCCACTCACAGTACATACCCAGAGGAGGAGGCAGAGCCCCTTGTGCCCATAGCTCCATTGCCAAGTCTGTCATCGTCACAGCATTTAAATGCCTCCCTGGCTCCAGCAATGCGTTCCAACCAATCCTGAGGCAGCCACAGAAACTCTATCTCTAACCAACAGACCCATGCGAAGTTAAAAGGTCAGTTTCCGAAAAGCCTTCTTAATTACGACTGATGCATCTCACTTACTACGAACAGTATGGTAAGACCAGCTTTCCCTGATGCACTTATTTAATTTGCATGCTCAGGGATTTAACGCCACCGGATCAGGACAGCCTGACTCGGCCAATGATTCCTTCTGGATTCTGAGAAGATGCCACAGAGGGTGTCTGGAAGACCCAGCTGGAAAACATGCCACCCTCCCCACCTCCAGTGCCACACAACCTGTTTCCACCAGCAGCCCTGGCTGCTTCCACCTGGCAGCTTCAAACTCCAGCTGAGTCTGTGAATCCAGCCTCAAAATGCTCTAGCATTTTAGTTTAGGGTCTCAACTTTAGAGTCAAAAACCAGTTTCATAACCCGCTGTGGGAGGCTGGGGAACAAAATGCATCGAAGTTCTTCCTGGTGTCATGTCTTGCCTCTATATATGGGAGTACAAACAGCTCCAGGGAGCCCTTTTTTGTTTTTGTTTTTGAGTTGGAGTCTCACTCTGTCGCCCAGGCTGGAGTACAGTGGCACGCTCACAGCCACCGCAGCCTCAACCGGCTGGGCTCAGGCAATCCTTCTGCCTCAGCCTTTCAAGTAGCTGAAACTACAGAAGCATGTCACTACACATGGCTAATTTTTTAATTTATTGTAGAGACGTGGTCTCACCAAGTTGCCCAGGCTGATCTCAAGCCCCTGGACTCAGGCAACCCTCTCTCCTCGGCCTCCCAAAGTGCTGGGATGACAGGCCTGAGCCACTGTGCCCGGCACAGGAGCCCCTTTCACTTGACCGTGTTCTCTACCCAAGACCAATCTGATGTGACAAGAAGGAAGATGAAAGAACCATGGCCCTTCTCTCCAGCCAGAGAATAGTTCTTAGAACCCTCTCTTCATTTTTTAATTTCTTTTATTTTGGAGACAGGGTCTCACTCTGTCACCCAGGCAGGCATGCAGTGGTGCCATCACAGTTCACTGTACACTTGAACTCCTGGGCTCAAGTGATCCTCCTGCCTCATCCTCCAGAGTAGCCAGGACTACAGGTACGTGCGACTCCACCTGGGTAATTTTTTTTTTTTTTTGGTAGAGATGAGGTCTTACTATGTTGCCTGGGCTGGTTTTGAACTCCTGGCCTCATGTGACTCTTCCTGCCTTAGTCACTGGAAGTTGGGGCTCCTCTTCTAAGGCACTCCACTCCCACCACATTTACAGGGATGGGGGGAGGGGGTAGCTACATATTCCAAGTTGGGCCGATCAGATACTCCTCCTCTTAGGAACAACCCTAGGAGCTGGGTTGTTCTCTCTGGGTAGGCAGAACTGTCCTCAACTGTGGGCCCTGGGAGATAGCCATGTGTTAGCCTAGGACCAGGAGCAAAGATGGCCTGTGTTCTCAAAAAGGAGCAGCTGGTGTGATCAAAGGTACAGATGTACAAGAAAGGATCTAGATGCCCTTCCTGATCCCTCTGTCCCTTCCCAGGCCCAAATGACTTGGGCTTCCAGGAGATCCTGTCTTGTAATGACAAATTCTCCTCTTTGCCTAGACAAGCTGGAGTTGGCATCTGCAACCAAGCAGTCTTGGCTAATGCATCCCCTTCCCACCTGCTATGATCCCAAGCCCTGTCTGGGACCCCTGTGCAGTCTGGGTGAGATGGCTGCTAACAGAGCATATGTTCACGACAGCAATCTTTATTGAACAAGATTCTGATGCCAACAGGGGAACAAATGAGGGGAAGTGGGGTTTAAAGAAACAGTCACAGGTGAAAATGCAGAGATGGGAGAAACCCAGAGACATGTATGTCCCAGCATCTTCTTGGGACATGCCAAAATGACTGTGTTCCTATCTCCCTCCACACCAGGTAAGATACCTTTTGAAGGCACACATTGAGTCTCTTGACCTTGCCCAGGGAAGACCATGAAGCAACATTTGTCAGCTTGAACTGAATTCAGTTCTCAGGGTTACTAACGTCCTTCTTTTCCTACTTCAGAGAACAGAAGATAGCTACTTAGGCTGGCAACAGACTGAAGCGACAGTGATGAAGGCCCCTGGAAGGCTGACCCAGCTGAGGATCCTCCCTAGGGGAGACATGGCAAGCTTCAGGAGCTTGGTTGCTATCAGAGTCCTCAAGCTGAAGCCTAGGAGCAGCAGAGAGAGTAGAGCAGGCAGCCCCTCCCAAGAGCTGTCTCCTCAGAAAGCAAAATGATGTGGTGGCATGGGCACCCTCTGAAGGCCAGTCACAGGAGTTAGCTGGTTAATGGCCAAGTGGCCACCTCACTGGAAGTCATGCTGTTTGTACAATTCCCTCTTTTTCTGTCTGTAGCTACAGGATTAGGGAGTTGAAAGACCCAGAGAAGGGTCTAATGAGGTGAAAAAAAGAAAGAAAGCAATTCATGAGTGTATCTCTTTCATTTCTTTGGACTGTACACCAAACCCCAAACTAAAAACTTACACAAACATAAACCATATCCTATTCATTTCTGTATCCCTCAAAGTCTTGAATAATTTCACCTCAATAAATGATTGCTGATTAAAACTGTGGGTTCTGGCCGGGCTCAGTGGCTCAGCCTGTAATCCCAGCACTTTGGGAGGCTGAGGTGAGAGGATTGCCTGAGCCCGTGGGTTCGAGACCCACCTGGGGAACTTGGCGAGACCTCCTCTCTACAATAAATAAAAAATTAGCCAGGCACGGTAGCGTGCACCTATAGTTCTGGCTACTTGGAAGGCTGTGGCAGAAGGCTCGCCGGAGCCCAGCAGGTTGAGGCTGCGGTGGCCAGGTGTGTGCCACTGCCCTCCAGCCTGGGTGCCAGAGTGAGACTCCAACTCAAAACAAACAAACAAACAAACAAACAAAAAACAACAAAAAAAAACCCCTGTGGTTTCTGAGATGCCCTTGGATAGAAGGAGGCATCTGTCACCTTCTGCTTATGCTTTCAGACCAGACTTCCTGTTCCTAGTGACAGGGTCCCCAGGGAAACGCTGTTCACATAGAATCTGGCCACAGCTCAGCCACCAGGTCTCTGACACCTTCAAAGAACACAACACCTCCGGCTCCTGCTGGCCCTCCTGCCCCCACTCCCACCCCCACCCCAATCAGCTCACTTTCTTCAGCGGAAAGAAAACCCTTCAGTGGAAAGAGAGTATTTTTAGACTCTGTTGCTGGGGCATGGAAAGGGGAGGCCGGGGAGGCATGACCACACTGGGGTGACTTTACCAGGATGACACCATTTCTGTTCCTGAAGGCAATTTCAAGGGAAAAGCTGAAGGACGACATAGGCTGCCTCTCAGCCTATGTGGGAGCGTCCTTGTTTTTTCAACAAATGGGATGTAACGTGAGCAAACAAAAAGGAACACCGCTAAAAGACCAACCAAGGGATGAGGTGAAAACTTAGGGGCGAAAGCTGAAAGCTGCTAGAAGTAGAGGCTTTGGTGGTCCGGAGGGTGGGAGTTAAGTGCTGGCGAGGTGCTAACCAGGCAGCTCTGCTCTCAATGTGTCTTTCCTACCCCCAGGGGACCAGCTCCATCCAAAGGCCCAGATGCCTGCGGTGGGGGCAAGCTGACTGAGCCTCATATTGG